CATGGCTGCTTCAACACTAACTGCGGTTACTGAAACCACGCCTTCTTTCTTTGCATGCACATTTGGGCGGCATTACGCAAATATTTCCACATAGTGAAGTAGATATGTGGGGGCGTGTTAGAACGAGCCGTTTTAGGGGGGTGTGGCAGAGTCTTAACTTTGATAAAGAATATCTCTTTGGTTTTGAGACTTTAGTCTTTGCAACTTCAGGGATCTTATCTATGCACAATCAGCTTGTAACACTCCAAAGAGAAAGGAAAACTTGAAATCGCATCATATGACCCCTTTAAAGATAAACCAAGGGCTCCCCGTAGTTTTCCAACGAAATAAAAGCTAGATAGTTTAACGCTTGAAAATAAAGTAATTAAGGCATCTGTACTGTAGAATAAAATGATGATGATGATTGATATTATTATTAATACTTTTTTTGTTTGTTTCACAAACACTTTTTAAATGTTTCTTCAATATTATAATTTAGTTAATGTAATTTTAAAACACATTCAGTAATGTGTGGTTATTTTATTAATGTGTGGTTGTGTTATTTTAGTATCTTTGAGGTACTATTATTAATTATTATTAGTTTTTAATTCTTATTTTGAATTAGTTTTTATTTCTATATATTTCCAATTTATTTTTAAATTTAAATTTAAATTTATTTTTTAGTAATTTTGTTGTGTTTTCATCATCCCCCCCTTGGCAACTAGCTCAGAAAACAAACAAAAAACAAAAACAAAAAACCTTATGTATATTAACCCTGCACTCACCAATCACAAATACTAAATTATCATTTGTTAATCCCTGACCAATCCTCTACACCATATTATCAGACAAGCTTTTGGTCTTTTCAAATGAACCAAATAACCCAAATCAGAAAATATCTAAAAATACAATAACATGTTGTTACCAGGGCACTTATTATAGTGAAACAAGGTTCCCTTTCAGTCGGTCACTCTCGACGTCACGTCAGTGACCGACGAATTGGGATCTCGCTTAGAGAGACCAATCCACTTCAAGTGTAAACTAAACGAGCCAATGCATATTGGCATGCGATGATTGTATCCAGCTGCCGCTGACCACAGCATGAGCATAAAAAGGCAGCCGGTGCAATGCATACCAGCTTTTCGCTTCCCGTGTCGAGTGGGTTGCACACATCAGGCTGCACTACCCCCTGTTTGTGTTGCAGGCGGCCATCTCCCCTGTGCGCTTCAGCACGCTGAAAGAGCTTTTTCCCTAAAAGAGCATTCACGGGTGCGTCTTTTTAAAGACGATGTTGCGTCTGGCAAACTCGACGTTGTGTCTTTGTAAAGACGACGTTGCATCTTGCTACAGACAACGTATTACCCGTGCGTTTCTTGATGTGTTCGTTACCTGGTGTCGGATGATGGACACGATCGCTGCCTCACGTGTCTGGGCATTAAGCACGCGGAGGTGGTGTTCGTGGATGAGTCATCTACTTCAGGCAGTAACACGGGTGGTCTGAGGGTAACAGTGATGGCAAATCCTCCAGGGAACCAATCCTCAGGGGACCATCGCTCCTCTTGCACTCCGCAACCAGTTGAGCTGCCAAAGGAACATGTTGGGCCTTCTACAAGGAGCGTACCAGCAGTATCCTTCGGCGCTCCTCCTGACGATCAGATGTCGATCGCTGCATAGGAGGGTGAGAAGGAGCTTTCTGGAGAGGAAGATTCGGCTGCGCTGCTGCCCTCTGGGACTGTGGCAATGCCTGAATCGGATCCGGAAATGACGGCTATGCTTTCCCGGGCCGCCGTGAGGGTAGGGCTCGAGTGGAAATCTCCACCGTGTCCCGAGCCCTCAAGGCTGGACGATTGGTTCTTCGGGGTGGCCAGCGCTGGTTCTCAGTGCCCCGTAATGCCTTTCTTCCCGGAGGTGCATGAGGGGGCTTACCAGGTCGTGGAAGGCACCTTTTTCTGGCGGAAACCGACCTGCTAACTCCTCCTCTCTCACCACTCTCGACGGTGGTGCAGCTAGGGAGTATACGGGGGTCCCCCCGGTGGAGCGGTCGGTTGCAATGCAGTTGTGTCCTGATACCGCCTCCACCCGGCAGGGCAAACCGGGCCTCCCCTCCCGGGTCTGTAGGTACTCTTCTGGTCTGTCCGGCGATGCCTGTGTAGAAGCTGCCTCCACCTTACACGCTATGGCATTACTGTAGGTTCTTCAGGCTAAAGAACTGAGGGACCTGCACGAGGGTGGTCATGATCCGGAAGTTCTGAAAGAGCTCCGAACTGCAATGACCTCGCGCTCCGAGCGACGAAGGTCACTGCGAGTTCTCTGGGTCATGCGATGTCCACACTTGTGGTCCAGGAGCGCCATCTCTGGCTGTGTCTGGCCGACATGAGGGACACCGTGAAGTTCGGTTCCTCAAGGTCCCTGTGTCCCAGACCGGCCTTTTCGGTGACACAGTCGAGAATGTGGCCCAGCAGTTCTCGGCTGCACAGCAGCAGACTGAGGCGATCTGACATGTCCTGCCCCTGCGGGCAGCTGCTGCCTCCACACGTCCGCCGGCCGCAGCGCCCCAGCCTGCTCATCGCTGAGGGCGGCCCCCCGTCCAGGCCTCCATCAAACCTGGTGGTGAGCAGAAGAGCAAGAGGCCCCGGGACGGGCGATCCAGAGAGAGAGGGAACTGCCCTTTGGGGGATGGTGAATGCACCTCTCCCTCCCCCGGGGGAGGGCAGGGTGGAGAAAAATTCTGACAGGAGAGCGGTTTTCTCTGTCTCTGGGTTGACCGATCTTGGACCTGCGTGTCTGGAAACGGGCCCTTCACTGGTTACCGTTCAAGACGTTGACGCAGAAACGCATCTTCAGGTGCATCCGTCCCCAAGATTGGTTTGCAGAGATCGACCCATACTTTTATGTGTCAATCCTTCTGCACCACAGACCATTGCTGCGGTTCTCATTCAAAGGACGAGCATATCAGAACAAGGTCCTGCTGGGCTGTCCCTGTCGCCTCGTATCTTCATGAAAGTTGCGGAGGCAGCCCTTGTTCCCCTGAGAGAGCAGGCAATTCGCATTCTCAACTACCTCTGGCTCATACTGGCTCAGACTCAGGATCAGTTGTGCGAACACAGGGACTTGGTGCTCTCACACCTCAGCCGGTTGGGCCTTCGGGTCAACTGCGAAAAGAGCAAACTCTCCTCGACGCAGAGGATCTCTTTTCTCGGTATGGAGTTGGATTCGGTCAAGCACGCCTCACGAAGGGATGTGCTTAGTCAGTGTTGAACTGCCTGAATATGTTCAAGAGCAGGATGGCGGTCCCACTGAAACAGTCTCAGAGCCTCCTAGGGGATATGGCAACTGCAGCGGCAGTCACGCCGTGGTGTGAAAAGGTTTTAATATTTACCAAAAATTTAACTTTTTTATTTGAAAAACAAACAAGCAAGCCCTATCCAGATTTAAATAGTAACGCAAAAGTAACGTAACACATTACTTTCTATAAAAAGTAACTAAGTAATGTAATTAGTTACTTTTTTATGGAGTAACGCAATATTGTCATGCATTACTTTTAAAAGTAACTTTCCCCAACACTGGTGGTTGAAATTACAGTACAGTTTGTGTTTTCTTCATTCCAACCTGAACATGTTGGACATCATTTAAGAACACACACATTAATTTAAATAATATAATGTAATTGCATCTACTGTATGTATTAATTGAGGTAATTAGAGTGTAACAAAAGGCTTCACAGTACCATAGTAAACATGTTATGAAACGTTAGGAAGAGTTCTGTTCACTTACACTAATGTTATCAGCTGTAATCACGTTGAAACTAAGCTTTTCTCTTTTTCTTCATGCTGATTCAGTCTCCACACTTTGTAATCATGTTACTGTGTAATTTACCAATTTGTTTGAGAAAAATGACTTTGCAACACTTCACAATGTCACACTTCATTCCAGCCCATGTTCGAATAATATCCGTAATATCTGTAAAAATATCCACTGTTTATGGAAATGCGAATACACTCCTATGGGATGGTCTGTGAAGTTCGTCTAAGCGAGAGATAGTAACCAAATGGGCGGAGCTTAGCAAAGTGTTGAGAGAAAAGTCTGGAGCAAAACCAGCAGCAAGTGAAGCGACCTGCAAATGTTTGCTTAAAACATTCATTAGTACAATATGCAAAAGTCACGAGAACAATGTACGGTAGACAAATCATAATATTGCACTGCTTTCAACCCGTCGTGCATTATTTTGCTCACTAATCATATTCAACAGAACAATATGTTTCAGGCTTTTTAATGTCAGCTCTTGAGACCAGCATGTACCATATCAAAACATTTTATAATTACACTTCTGAGAATACATTACAGTGGCTGCGCCACCGAACGGAACCATTTATATGACTAAAATAACTTTTGTTTCATAACAGCTAATGACCAGTGACTAATTGCCACAACAACACAAGTGCTACGGCTCACAATAACCGATGTCCTTATCAGAAACATACACTTACACTACAGTATATACTCTCAGAAGGAGAAATCAAAGGCCTTGAAACGAGGTCATTTTGATGATTCTAGGAATCTCAGCAAAATACAGAAATGCAGCCTCAGCAACTTTATGGAGTTTTTCACTGAATGAGGTGAAATGAAGAGAGTCATATGGTTCATTATCCATGCGACTTGGAGAAAGATCTCACTGGATCATCACTGGTGCTGAAAGAATGACACAGATCTTCATTGAAGCACTGGATAATAGACAGTCACCTTACTTTAGTATCACTGACATGGTATCATGGCATGTTATCTAGAGCAAGATCATATTTTTATATTTTCAGTTTTTATTTTAAAGTTGTAATTTTGTTTTGTATATTTATCTTTTTTGACTTTTTTTTTTCTTTCAATGATTATTTAATTTAAGCAATTTTTGTTAAAAGTAACTTTTGTTAATATTTAAAATAAAATTGTATTTTAATATCTTCTGTTATATTTTAGTTAAAGTTTTATTAATTTTGTTGTGTGTTTTTGGCATTTTAATATATATATTTTTAAACGTCTCTACAGTTTTCATGAAGTTTTAATTGTTAGTTATTTTAGTACTTCAAACTAAATGCAAATGAAAAATGTTGCCTTGGCCTCTAGCAGAAATAACATACGTTTTAATAAAAAAAGCTTTGATAATAAAATGAACAAATAACATAATATGTCACAGCAAATATGTTTTTTTTTATACATTTTATTTTAGGTATTTTATAGTATTTTTTCAAAGTAATAATCATTTTAGTTAAGAGTAATACCACTACCACAGACGAATCAGCTGTGAAATTAAGGTATAATGAGAAAAAAAAAAAAAAAAAACTGTATATATACCTGTATATATATTTGTGTCTCTTGTGTATTGTGTTAAAACCAGTTAAACTCTGCGAACCCAGATACGGGTCCAAAATCGCGTTAAAATGTTTATGCTTCATTTACATAGCCTTCCTTATATGGTATCAGCCCATATATGGGTTCATTTGAAAGCTTGGAGTGTCTGCTTTACAAAGAATACCATTCCTTTTGGTTTTTATATTCATAAAGCAGTAAAATTAAGCTTAGAAATGTATTCGTCCCACACACGAATTTCCGCCTAACCATTGCGAATAATTTTTACGAAGTATGTGTATTTTATATATTTTTCACAAAAAAGTCAAGTCATATATCACAAGAAAGCTCTCATTCTCAGGAATTTGACGATGTAGATTATTTCATTGTGTGACAATCACAGATCGAATGATCTTGTAAAATTTGGTCACCTCTGAGCGAATTTACATTTATACTCGTAGCACTGCTTCAGTCAGCCGCAAACAGCCACAAATATCTATATACTCTATATTATCTTTTAGATTAGGATCTCTTCTTTCAAACAATACCATTTTCACGTTTCTGCTTGCTTTCATCGGTGAGATATATAGCGTTTTGTCCAGATTGCGCAATAGATGCGCTTCTTCCAGAGACGCGCTCTCCATATCAAAAGTGCTCTCAGCCAGCGCGTCTGATGTTATAGAGATCTGTATTCGCTTGTGGACTGCAATTGGTCAGATTACATGTCTCTCAACTCGGCGGCCATTTCAGAGCCGTGAAATTTGACACCTCTG